TGCCGTGTTGTGGTGTTAAGGTCATTTCAACGAGATTAACCTGAAAGCACTAGTGGGAACACAACGAATATGACTGCACATTTACGCCGACATCATCCTAGTGCAAAGACAAGTGGAAGCAGACAAAAACAAGCAAGCATGCTACTAACTTTAGCCGAGTCATTTAGACAGCTGTTAGCACAGGATTCTCCTTATGGAGACCTGATATGTTTAATATGCTGCTGAGAATATAGCCCAGAAGAAACGGATAGTATAGCTTTTATTTTGGAAAGAGACATTTCTCTGTAATAAACTCTCTTTTCCAAAGATGAGTGATTCCTCGATCAGATACAGGGCTCGCAATATCGCTAGCCCGACGTCCCCGGGCTAGCGATTCTTTCAGTCGGGCTACCAAAATCTATCTCTGCCCTGCCCGTCGGGCTATTGTAGGAAGGAAAAATATATCAGAATCAGAATCAGAATACTTTATTGATCCCTGGGGGAAATTATTTTTTGTTACAGTGCTCCATTTTAAACCAACATTAAGACAAGACAGACAATACGCTAACTAAGAATAGTACAATATATACATTTATATACATACATACATACATAAGTCACTTATAAATAAATATTTGGAAAAGAAACATGTGTCAATGTGTCAATATGTGTCAATATGTCAATGCTTTTGCATTCTTTCAGAAATGTAGCTGGGTAATTATGTCATTGGCATCGGTGAGCCACTGTCAATATGTGACATATTGAAATCGCGTTTGAATTTGCGCTTGTTTTTTTGCTTTCACTTTGCAATCGTGCGACCTGTGTATAGAGAGCGACAGCACTGATCTGTGAGTGATGATAATTTGTGCACCAATTCCTCTGACATCGTCTTATTAATCGTTAGCTTACTATGCAAACATGACAAGTGAAATCTCCCGCAGCTTAAACATGTGAGAGGTTGATCGCGCAGAGAATCGCTGAGCTTATGTGAGTGCGTGTGTAAAAGCAGCAGGATATATATTTTAGTTCTGCTGAGCCGAATAAGACAGGTCAGGGTGAAGAAGTGACAGCCAAAGAAAAGCTTACCACAAAACGGAGAAGTTATGACAAATCAGACTATAAGGCAAAAAGAAAGTGCAGCTTTATGGTTTCATGGACAAAAGAATTTCTGTGGCTGCAATATGACGAGCTATATAACCGGGGCTGCACATAAGTGGTCCGCAGGTGCGCATTCGCTGTCAAAATAAAAAACATGCACAAGGGTTAGGGTTAAATTTAAAAACTGTACTTTTGAGTTAAAATATATATTTATAATTTTAATAAATGACAAATTAAAAAGGCATGAACATTTTTTTTGTATCGAAAAAATATCGAACCGTGACACCAAAGTATCGAACCGAACCGTGAATTTTGTGTATCGTTGATCTGACACTCGGACCGGCAGCCGCCTCGGGTCTCTCCTCCTGCCTCCCCTTTCCCTCATCCACCTGCTGGCCTCCACCACTTGCTAATGTTACTGAATCTGTGGAAGCTCCACCATAGCCACCACACGAAGTAACGAATAATGAGCCTATCTAAATCTCAGCAACAACTAACGCATTCCTGATTTTGGCATGATAACTAGTTAACGTGCTCATTACCACAATAATAACATAGTTACTGTAACACGTTACTTAATAACACATTAGTCCTTACACTGGTAATAAATCACCTGAATTAAACTAATCTTCTTAATCTACTTTGAGCTGAGGTTGATTTTGTTCTCATTTTTGGAGGAGCAAGGCTGAAGAAGATAAAGCACAACAGGAACCAAGGATGTACTTATCATTGCATCTCCAACCCACACCCAATAAAACAAGCATCCTTAAAACATTACAACATTCCTGCTCCTGTGTTGGAATGAAAAACAAATGTGTTGTTTAAATCAGAGACTGCACTTGTGACAGAACAATAAATATTCTATTTTGATTACATAAGTAATGCAAGTACAAAACAAACTTGTGGTAGGCCTAAACTTATTTTCAGAATAATTACATCTGAGACTTTGTTTCATTGTAAGATTATAACAGTGATGGCAATATAATTGTTTGTTGCTCAGCAGAACAGTGTCCAGTATGTTGGCTGTTACACTTTGTTGTGTTTGAAAATAAAAGTTGGACTGATTTTAACATCATTACAAAAAGTGTTGTTAATTGTTTCTAATCATATTCAGGTTACCACAAATATTTTTTTCATTTAGTTGAACTTGAAATGTTTGTCAGTAGGTAAACAATTAGCATTGTACAGTCAGAAACATCAAGTTATTCTTAATACTGAACACTAGCATAGAATAAGTTGTCCTAACAGTCATCTTAAGTAAGCTTTTTAGGCAAAGAGTTTGCATAGGTTTTTGGTTTTTTTTAGAGTTCTGGGGAACTAACAAGGTGGTACAGTGTACTCAAAATGAGTAAGTTGCCCTAACTTAATTACCTTAAGTAAACTGTACTCAATTTTTTGAGGCAATGAGTTTGCATAGTTTTTATGAGTTCCGTGAACTAACTAGATTTTACAGTGTACAAAGACCATATCCTGGAGCACTAACAAGTTCAACAAAGTCATTAAAAGCTGCAATAAAAACGTATATACTGAAAATAAATCACAATTCTCAGAATCATATTGACTATATAAAAAGGATGAATGAAGGATATCTGCATACACAGGAAAATGCTTCCTTACTGCATTTGCAAAGGTCTCGTGACTGTCATGGATCGCTGTGTGGCAGGCAGGAGGAGGACCCAAAATGCAAAAACTCACAGACACGGGGATGAACTCAAAAATCACAGCTTTAATGCTGGAGAGGCAGAACGTAGGAAATACAAAACTAAACTGGGAAAAGTAAATTAACACCCGGAGAGAGACACAGGGAAATCCACGCAGCATGAGGGAGAACGCGACACAGAACTGAGGGAGACGCAGACATAAATACACCGAGGGTAAACGAGGGAAGTGGGAGCACATGGGGAACACAGGTGACACTGATAATCATAATGAGACAGGGCGGGGTGAACATAACATGACGTATACAGGTGCGGGAGTCCCAAAGTAAAACAGGAAGTACAGAGGTGCAAATAGGAGGAGAGAGAGCACGGGCATAGTGGGCTGGGGAAACATGGAATGAAACACAAGGAGGGGAGACGAGGGCTCACAGATACATAGAGGGGCACACAGGGGATAAAAGTCACAAGAGGAAAACACATAAGGAACAAAATACAAAAATACATGAAAACTAAGAATACTGGGCCAACATGGCCCAGGACCATGACAGTGACATTCATCAGCACTGTCCTCTCTGATGTGAACCACAGAGTTTGGCTCACAGAACATAGGTGGAACTTTCCCACTCAGAGCCACAATTATCCACGTAGCTCAGCAGTTGACCTCAGATGCATATCTGTGGACTGTGGGAGGACATGCAAGCTCCTCACAGAATGCCCAAACACGAACATCTTTAAAAAGAAAGTTCAAATCAAGCTTGATCGTCTGCAGATGGAAGCATGATGCTGCTGTAGATTTCCAGTAGAAGAAGAAAGATGGGGCTTTAAGTATCATAACTGTAGTGTGAGCGGTGTCTGCCTGTACTGTACGTGAGCTAGGCCTCTAGTTTAAACTAGTGAATTTAGGGATTTTAAAATGAAAACATCATCAAAGTTAAAGGAAATGATCTTAGCGGGTATCACATTTACAATGTGTTATGTTTTTTATTCGGTCCTCCTCACTGCCCATCATCAACATGACTCAGAGACACTGAAGAAAGCTAGCACCCTCCAGGAAGTAAACCAGATCGAAAGATGTCATACTTAACTTTTTTTTTTTTTAAACATTTATTTATTGGTTTTAACCGGTTTTACATGGTGCACTGTGAACATTACAAAAAAATAATAAAAAAATAAAAAAAATTACAACAACAGAAACAACATAGTAATAGAAACAAAAACAAAGCAAACCATAACAGAAGGGAAGGACAGATATACAAAGCAAGTTAGAGTTTAAGGCTGTTAAAGCCACAGTGTGCACGCTGCAGTTCTCCAGAATTTTGACCATATAGCCCAAAACTTGTCCAGTTTATTTCTTAATGTATAAGTTATTTTCTCCATAGATAGTATAGATGTCAGTCCATTAAGCCATTGAGATACTCCACATATTTTTTGATTTTTCCAACACATAGCAATACAGCGCTTGGCTTCCAAAAGTCCAGTCGTTAACAGAGCTCTATTGTTTGCAGCAGGTACAAAATTATTCGGGTATATGTATTTAAAGTACATATTTTAGGATGAAGTGGAATCACATCACCAATAATTTGACTCAACAGATTTATTACCTTTTCCCAAAAGATTTTCACATGTGGACACTCCCATATGCAGTGACCCTGTCCACCCCACATTTAATACAGGTGTCTGGGGGTTTGAATTGAAATATTTTTTTTGACAACATTTTTGACAGTGTAAGATATTGTCTTGTTAACCATTTATATTGAAGTAGTCGTGATTGCACATTAATTGTGTGACTCTGGGCCAAGGAGCATGATTTATACCACTTGTCATAAGATATATCCATTTGCAAATCATTCCTCCGAGCCTCTAACATAGACTGTGTTGATTCTTTGGAATTTTTCATAAATAATTTATACAACGCAGAAACTCGGCCTCTCCCATTTAGATGCTTTATAACTGAGGAGTAGGGGGGGGATTTCTAAGCTGTCACCTTGTGTGGTTGAGATAAAAATTTCTTAATTGAAGAAATCATATTTTACCTTTAAAACATTTTACAGCAAACATGATGGTGAGCTGAGGCAGTGTGGGCGTGGCCAGTGGCTGGATTAACATCCATTTAACAGTCTTAATCACATATCATCCCACTGATGAGCAGGAACATCTTCTGTTTTTTCTACTGACTGCCACCCTGTCATGGTGCTGTGCTTGGCGACCAGCTGTTCTCCAGCAGTCTTGAACAAAGACTCAGACATTAATGTGTTTGTGGTGAGAAACTTTAATAGTTTATTATTACAATGCAAAACCTGTGTAATACACACACAGTCACAGCTGTCATGTCTGAAAATACAAGTCATTGCAGAGCTGCAGGAAAACCTTTAAACGTCCCAAAATATTTTACTTAAAAGCATTTAAAAAAACCCACGAAGTGCTGCATAATAAGACCAAACATGTAAAATCCCAGGCCGACAGTAAAGATACAACAGCAAAGCTGACACTCTGAAGACACACCCCCTGCTTTTATACTGGTTACTGGAGCTTCAGGAGGGGCCAATGATGTCACAGAACAGCAGCCAATCAGAGACAGTAGGAGGAAGGTCGTCCATAAGGCAGAGTGCGTCCTCACTTTCCTGTTCAGAGACAAACATCAGTGATTTCAGCTCGAAGCTGGTGAACTTTGACCTTCCCTAACACACACATGTATGTGCTCTGTGACTCAGCTGACACACTTCTTACCTTTTAGCTTCCTCCAAAGGAGCAGAACTAATACCAGAACCAGGCACGGACAAAATCGCCATAGGTTAGGGACCAGGTGTAGTCGAACTCGACCTCCTCATCTTCCTCTATTGATTTACTGTTAGCAGGAGGGATTTTTTTCTTGGTAGTTTGGGGGCTTGAAGTACTGGGAGCATGAGTGGTTGTTTTAGGGGTAGTAGGAGGAGGATCTGTGGGAGGATCTGCAGGAACAATGACAAAGATGGTTCAGTCAGTTTATTATCTGGTCAGCTCATCAGTTCCAGTAGTCTGTGGAAGCTTCCTCACTGAAAGACAGAGCTGTCTGAATTCTTGAAAGACTAAAGAAAGGATCTTCAGGTTACACTGAGGATACACTGAGACTGTCTGTCATGAAAGTCTTTATTTATGGACTTTATCAGGCACAGGATGGAGAGGAGTGCAGTGACGGTCTGGGCGTACCCATCTTCTTCTCTCATATTCATCTCAAGACCGCAGACAGAAATCAGCATTATAGAATAAACGAGTTAGATCAGGATCAACTGCAGACGATTGGATCGAGGGATTCTGCCTATCCTGAGTCCTCTCCTGTACTGTCCTCACACACATGACTGCAAGCCTGCCTACAATACCAATGGACAGGTGTGTCAACTGTGGTGGGCCCGATCAGCAGAGGAGATGGTCTCATTCCAAACAGACTCCCTGCATCTTTCACAGCAGCTATAAGATGTGCTTTTCTCTGCGGTTAAACCTTAGTGACTCACATTTGTGTGATTCATTCAAATATTCTCCTCTTGAAAGAGAAACATGGGCCTGAAAAGAAACTAATGTTCACATCTGTCAGTCACAACCTGACACTGAGTCTCTTTAGTGAATCCAGCAGAGTTTTAAAGTCAAATAGAGGTTTTGTGCCACCACAGTGAAGATGGACTTCTTTGTTCCTTCTTTAATATTCCAACCTTTGTAATGATGGGATAATTTTCTCTGGCTGCTCTGTTTATGTGACCTGAATACATTAAGAGAACATGTATCGATAAAGTAAGATATAACCTACCACCTTTCATTGATCTCTATGACATTTCTACTAAAGTCCAGGAAAAGAGGTTGAATAAGAAAGATCATTGCACTGACCTCTGACTGTCAGCCTGCTTTTAGGAGTATGTGGATGATCCTCAGTGGAGCACGAGTAGAGACCTTCATCAGACTTCTGAACATTAGTGAGGGTCAACGTTCCTTCAAGATCAGATCCAATCATGTCCCCATCTTTATAGAAATAAGACTTCCTCGGTTCACCGTCTCTGCTTTCACAGAGCAGAGTCACATTACTTCCTGTCCACACAGGAGATGAAGGGATGTCCAGGATCAGGGAACCAGCTGACCAACAGAGACACAAACAGAGTGATACAGAGACAGACTTCCACCAACACACAGAGTCATACAGACACAGCTGGAACATCTGTACCTGAAACAATGATGTTGACTTCATCACTACGCTGCCCAGATGAGCTTTCACAGAAGTAAGCTCCATCAGAGGGGTTACGCAACTTGAGTTGACACAGAGAATTTTTAAGAACAAGGCCTTCAGCTGCCCCACACCTCTCAGTGACTCCTCCTCTGGTCCTCTTCACTGTCCATCCATCAACTCTTTGTTCATCATCATCATCACAAGACAGAATCGCTAGAGCACCACCACTGAAGAACTGCTTGTGATCTGGAGTTACACTCAGAGAGACTGAAGGGCAGACAGATACACAGACAGACTAAATGTATTTGTGTTCTTGTTGGAGTCTCACTGATGGTTTTCACTTCCATCTACTCACCTCCAGAAACAGTCAGTGCAGAGAGATGCAGCACACACACACCTGCAACAGGAGGACAGAGGTCACTGAAGGTCAGAGGTCACTGAGGGTCAGAGAAAGTGTGACTGTGTACTACAGGGGTGGGGAACTCCAAGCCTTGTGTTCTGCAGGTTTCACATGTGTCCTTGATCTAACACAGCTGATTTAAATAGCTAAAACATCCTCAACATGTCTTGAAGTTCTCCAGAGGCCTGGTAATAAAATAATCATTGGAGTCAGGTGTGTTGACCCAGGGTGAGATATAAAACCTGCAGATATCAAACCTGAGATATCAAACTCCAGGCCCTCGAGGCCTGGAGTTTGACACCCCTGGTGTACGAGCTTCATTCTCTTAAATCCTACATGATTCCTCAACAGAGGTTGGCATTACCAAAGTAAAATTACTTCGTTACTGTAATTAAGTGCACTCGGGTAAAAGTGGGCGGGGCAATAAGTCACACTACTTCAGCATCTAGCTAGCCCTGCTGAAGAGGAGCGAGCATAAAGGGATTAACAGTTTATTATAAGTCAGGTCATTTCAAATGCAGCGTTTCTATGAGCACAACAAACATCAGCAAACACACAAACTGTTTGTGTGCAGTTTGTCTCACAGTGTGTTACAGTTAAAGGTCCAGCTGCTGTATTTCAAAGAGAGGAAAGAAAGAGAGCTAACATCACTCAGAGATGGAGAAAGATAAGAAGATAAGAAAGAAGCACATGAGAGGATGTAGAGAGCTTAGATTTAAGGGAAGGACTTATGCTCCACACTCCATCCATGGAGTGTTGTGTGCTCTGTCTGGATGGGTAAGGCAAGCAGTGCTTTAATCTACATATGGGGCGACCGTGACTCAAGGGGTTGGGAAGCGTATCTGTAACTGGAAGGTTGCCGGTTTGATCCCCCTCTCTCTGTCCTGGTCGTTGAGTCCTTGGGGAAGACACTTCACCTGCTGCCTACTGGTGTTGGCCAGAGGGGCCGATGGCGCGATATGGCAGCCTCGCTTCTGTCAGTCTGCACCAGGACAGCTGTGGCTAAAACTGTAGCCACCACCAGTGAATGAATAGTGGAATTGTAAAGTGCCTTGGGTGCCTAGAAAAGCGCCATATAAATGCAATCCATTATTATTATTATTAAATCTGAAAAGACATTAGACATAAAATGGACCATCATAATCTCCTGTCATCACAGACAGCGCCATCATAAAGCTGCTCATCTCTTAGTGAACAGGCATGGTGACAGATTAGATTCCTCTTGGCCAACATGATGATGATGTAGAGCAGATAGCATTTGAAAAGGGTGTTAGTTTATAATTTCAATCATTATTGGTGATACAGCAGATATTTACCCAACTACAGAAGTGATAATATTTTAGTTCAGTTCATTTTTATTTCAAACACATACATTCACCAACATTTCATAATATCATCCCATGCAGTTGTTTGAAAGGGAGTAGTCAGAAGTATATACTTATTTAACTCTGACCCCTTAGGTTGACATCTTAATCATTTCTTCATCATTCTATCTAAACACACACACACACACACAATTGTTTTCTCATATTCAAGTAAAAATATATTTAGATTTACTGATTTGCAAAAGAAAATAAACATCACTTTGACTACTGTGTTGGGTTACTTGCATTTTCTTCATTCTTATACTTATTTAAAATTTATTTTTTGAGTTTAGAGGGAAGTGGAATTGAGAAATACAAAGAGGAAGAACAACTTTGAAAAGGATGTCTATTTCAGCAGCGGGAGTTAAATTCTAGAATGAGTTAAAAGAAGAAATAAAGGTCAGTAGTGATATAAACCTTTCCTTGCCTTATATATTATTTGCACTGTTTTAAACTTCACCAGATCCTGGAATTTTGTAGCTTGCGTCTTAATAAAGAGTACGTTTGTGTGAGCCCTATACCCCTCCTGATTTATTAATCTAATAGCCCTTTTCTGCATTATGATTATAGTCTGAATATTACTTTTATATGTATTTCCCCAAACCTCTACACAATAACTCATATATGGTATTAGTAAAGCATAATATAGCATGTACAATGCTTTCCTATCCAGAAATTGTTTTGTTCCCCGAGACAGCAATGCCCCGAGCTAACTTTACCCTCACATAAGTGATGTGTGATTTCCAACAGGCCTTATGACCAATGATCACACCAAGAAATGTTATGGTATTAACCCTTTCTAGATATACATTATCAACACAAATTTCAATGTTAATGTTTTCTTATAATTTCCAAATAACATAAATTTTGTTTTATTTAAATTTAATGACATTTTCTTTTTATCTAACCCCTTCTTTAATGTGTTTAACTCCTGTGTGATCACGTCCAAAACCTCTTGCAATTCCACACCTCAACAAAGTATATTGGTATCATCTGCAAATATTTTAGTAACTTCGATATTTTACAAATATCATTTATATACACAATAAATATTTTTGGACCCAATACTGATCCTTGAGGTACTCCACATTCAATATCCACCAGTTTAGATTTAAACTCGTTTATTTCTACATATTGCTGTCGATCCATCACATAGCTTTTTATCCAATCCAATACTACACCCCTAAACCCACATTTTTCCAGTTTGATTATTAGAATTTCGTTACCCAGGGTAGCCATTAACCTATCTCTAATAATCGACTAAGCACCACAGGCCTTCAAGCTGGCTGTAGTTAAACCTTTACTCTCTAGACCAGCGGTCCCCAACCTTTTTTGAGCCACGGAGCGGTTTCTGTCCAACAATGTTTTTACGGGCCACCCTTTAAGGTGTTGCGGATAAATACAACAAAATAAAACCAGTACCAGTACCTAAAATAGAAGATTTGGTCATAACACACGGGAAAAGGCCCATGGAAACCGAGTTACTGATAAAAATGATAAAAATATAGAGATAAAAACCCTGAAAACCATAAATTTCAAACCTGAGCCTCAACTCTCGAAGCTGGTATCAGTCTGTGGCCCGGGGGTTGGGGACCGCTGCTCTAGAGCCTTAGCCAATTATACGCCAGTATCCAACCTTCCTTTTATATCAAAGAGTAGTTGTCACACAGCTAACAGATCATCTGCAGAGGAATGGCTTATTTGAAGAGTTTCAGTCAGGTTTCATCACAGCACAGAAACAGCTTTAGTGAAGGTTACAAATGATCTTATCTGATAGTGGACTCATGTCAGTGTTTTGAACGGGTTATAAAACAAGAGTGTAAGAACAGTTTCATGGTGTAAGATGCCAGTTTTGACAAGTACAGACTAGTGGAGAGTCGTCTGGATTAGCAGTGTAACGGTCTCATCCTTCTCTTTCTCTTTCTGTGTCCTTTACATTAGAAACTGTCAATCCCACCCCCGCATCACCCTGACTTGTATCATGAACAGGCTTGTGTCCACATGAACGTGCAGACTTTCCACTGGAAAAACGAAAAAAAAACAGTCTTTTTACATAAAATGCACAAAATCGATCTCCAGCACCGTCGCAGGAGGTGCTGATCAATAAAGCCTGCAAACGGTAACAAAGCACATGTAGCCAAATAAAGGCACACAGCTCTGATGCATAAAGACTTTATAAAAAAGCAGAGTTCATGACAACCTTCTCTCTTTAAGAAGTTTTTCCAAACTCTGTGCTCACTGCTCTAAACGAGCATTTACATGTGGATGAGCTCAAAGTTTGCAGACTCTCTAACAGAGTTTAGAGTTATTAACACACACTCTGATCCAGGTAAGAAACCCAGAGGAACAAACCTGCTGTCCACCACACCTGTGGTATTTTAGAAACTTTCACAAAGTCCAAGCAGACAGAGGCTGAACATAAACCCTGCAAACATCTGTGTGTGTTTGTGTAAAGGAGACACACACACTGAAGGAGCTGCTTTTTCAGTGTGTGTTGGAAATTCTTACCGTGCAGCAGGATCACAGACAGCAGCCTCATTTTCATCCTCACAGTCCCGTTACAGAGCTCCTCACTGCCTCGGACCTCACCCTCCTCTCAGGAGACTCTCAACAGGAAGCTGTAGCACTCTGACAGGAGGCACCTCCACAATAAAAGCTGTCCTAGACAAACACCTGTGCCAGTCGCGTCCTGATCATGTGTTTCAGACACGTACAAGTTAACCAGTATCCAGCATCATGCTCAGACAGCACAGGCCTCCCAACCACAGCCAACACTGGATTAGTCTTCAAGTTTTCTTTCTGTTGTTGTAATACTGTATTCACCTTACAATATGGCACAATATCAATAAAATGGAGGGTGGAGTGAAAATGACTGGACAAGTTTACAGTGATGTGATCAAGATGGTTCAACATGAGCCGTTCTTAAACTTTGCTGGAAGAAAGTGAGGAGAGAAACAAAGACCTTTGATTGGACAGTGAGTCAGAACTCAAACTGGGAGAGGTCAGCATCAGCAGTGTTGGCCAAGTTACTTTCAAAAAGTAATTAGTTATACTTAGTAGTTACTTCTTTAACAAAGTAACTGAGTTACAATATTTTAAAAGTAACTAATTACTAGGAAAAGTAACTATTGCGTTTCTTAAAAAATAACTTTAACCCTCTGAGGTCCAGGGTATAATGAGCCGTTTTTGACTGCTTTTGATGTTTCCTCTACATTTCAACTTTAAAAACTATTTACTTTGCCTTGTTTGGTATCATTCTTTTCAGCACAACCTCACATGTCTGAATTTACTGTTATTACTTCATTGGTATAATAACACAATTGATCTAAAATCAGACAAAAAAAAAACTCTGCGTAGAAAAAAGTTTGTTTTTTTACGGTAACAAGCTCAAACACATTTAATGAATTTTATTTTATTTTCAACTTGAAATTCAAATATAAATTGTAGATTATAAAAACCTTAGTTATTTTCTAGCTATTTAGCTATTTACCTAAAAATGCAGCTGTTGTGGAAGTTTTCCATTAAATAAAGCCTGCAGACGAGCGGTAGCTAACATTCTTTAATCAAAACACACAAAGAATAGACAACCAAGCTTGTGGAGCGCCTACATGACCGCAGGGCAGGTCAGCAGAGTTTCCCTGAGCCTAGCATGGCTCTCAGTTAAATACTTTCTTCAGGAACAAAAGGCAGTACACAGCTGTTTCACACCTTCAGGTTCACACTTCCTTGCTGCCTCCCAGAGTCCTCGAAGAGACAAAAGTTTCTTCCTGTGGAGCTGTCTGCTTCCCCCAACTTCCTTACTAGACCCCCACCATTTGTCTTAATGTATGAGTGTGAGACTTGTTAAAATCCAGTAGCATCAAGGCGTTAGACAATAAAATAATGTGATTAATACACAAGTAAAAGAAATTCCTATACACAGCTAAGGTATATTTTGATAACCATTTAAAACTGTTTACAGAACAATCAGGTGTTCTGCATCAAATAGGATTTCACACAAATTATTTGTGTCAATGCAAAAAATAGTTCCTGTCTATAAGATAAAGGGGAACATCACAACCTGATACCTGCAGGCCTTAAAGCAGGAGGTGTATCACTCCTCCTGTTTTCCACCTTTAAACTTTATTGTGATCTCAGCTATATACAGTGAAGTATATAGAGATATGCGATGACCAAACAAATAGATATAAAAGGAATAAGAAAATAAATATACACTTAAGACTAAGGATTAAAGGATCAAAATAAATTAGAATTTGAAATCTACAATTTACAGTTTAATGATTTAAAGTGGCTTTTGTTTTTTGTTTTTTGTGACCCGTTTGGATCTTTAGCCATCAGAATTGTTGTCTGAAGGCCAAGAAAGATGCCCAACGGATATACTTTACCAAGTGGATCATCATGGTCTTGCCATATTGGTCCATTTGATTGAACTTTATTATAATTATGTATTTATTTTATTTTCGTTTTTTAAAGACGGGACAGACATGACTGGGGGATAGGACAGGGAGAAAGAATGAAAGAAAGAAGAGGGAGAGAAAAAGGGAGAGAAGGAAAAATACAGGGGAGAAGAGATGGTGAGAAAGGGGGGAAGAAAAAAAAAGAAAGACAAACAAAACACCTGGATCACCTGTATGGAGAGTAAATACTAAATGTTAAACATTATTGTGCAGCACATAAGATCAACAGAACACAGTGTGCTTTGAGGTAGGAACCAAAAGGGGTGTAGTTTGTGTGTGTGATCACCCGTGTGTACACCTGTGAGCATGGACGCGCTTGTTTTTAAAAGGTTCCTCCATGTAATGATCTGCTAGAGGGTGTGGGGGGGCATTGTCCCGTCCTCCAGGGCATGAAGCAGGTATGGAGGAGATCAAAACTCCAGACATCCAGAGGCCCTCAGAACACAAGAGACCAAGGAAGACCCACAGAGGGGCAGCCGCGCCACTGTCCCAGTAAGAGCTAAGGAGAGTCCCAGATGAGGGCTCACTCAGCAGCCGCGGAGCAGAAGCCAGGGGGAGTTGCAGTGACGCGCCCGTGAGCTCCGCCGCAGCCAGCTGTGCCTGAGTGACCGAGCCCCAGGCCGAGAGGCCGGGGGCACCCCACCTCCGAAGTGGCCCGAGCGAGCCCCAGGCTCCAGGCCCCGATAAGCAGCCGCCAAGGAGTGAGCCGGTGTGTACCTGGACACCCATCTCTGGACACAAAGACCCACCAATGCACCGATGTCTGAGGGAGTCCGCCACTGGCAGGGGAAGTGGTGGTGGGTGGAGATAGGCCCTCCAAACCTTGGAGGGCCTGAGATGTCCCCAGAGAGGTGGCGTCTGATACCCAACCTGACATATAGACACAGACATACAGGCACACACAGACACAAACATCCATTCCCACCCTCATGCTCTCATATGCACTTACACCACACTCAACCAACGTGGAGACAGACATAAAGAGACGCTGTACACACGATCACACATATACATTTACATACAGTGCCTTGTCTTTGTAACCAAAGGGGGTTGCAAGGGGAGGTGTTTAGTAAACTATTGTTTGAAGTTTGTCAATAAAAGGCAGTGAGAGGAGGCCATCATCGGGGTCTTTGTCATGCTGGACACAGATGAGAGGCCTCCCTTGCGCAAGTAATGGATCGATCGACTGTCTTGTTTTCTTCATGATGAATAAGTCTCTAGAATTAGCGGGGTTTGTGGAAACACAGACCCAACAGCCCTGCATGTGTGGGTGATTGTGGTGGAGCAGGAAGAGGGAGGCAGCTGGAGATGGGGAGGGAAGGAAGGGAGGGGCAAGTGACCCCTCGCTAGGGCCAGCTCCCCCGCTGACCCCAGTAGGCACCCCCATACTCCGCGACCCGCCAGGGAAAGGGGGCCCAGGCCCATCCAGACCGGGGCCCAGGACAGCAGCGCCGCTTGACCCCACAGAGCCCAGGACAGCCCACCCGACACCACCACAGAGAAAACTGCACCAACCCTGTCATCCACTCATCTTCCAGACTACACGAGACAATAGACACCCAGGCTGAGATCTTCCTCCACCTCTCCTGTATCTCCCCTTCCTGCAGAGAGTTCCTGAGGGGAGGAAAGCTCCTGCAAGATGTGACAATCTCCCCCACCAGTTGAAGAGCCCCCCAGGTGGCTCGATGCACTGGCGGCACCCTGCGCCAGGGCTGGGCCCCATACACCCACCCGCCCACAACCCTGGCAACACACCAACCAGGACCCAAGCCCCCGAGGCCCAGCCACGGCTCCAGCCTGGAGACGGAGCACCCCCACAACCCCACTCCCGTCCCGGACCTACCCCGGGGCAGCCAGGCTACCAGGTCAGTAACCCACGACCGCTACCCCGGGTTGAGCCCCCCAAGGAAGATGCCTCCGGGGAACCACCCAAGGACGCCCCAAGCCTGTCCCTACCCCCACACCAATCACAACAGTGAAGGCGGGACCAAACTATGACCCCCTCACCCCCACTAGGTGATGGAGCTGATAAAAGGAGCCCAGAGCAATTGATCTGATGTGGTGGCAGAGGCTGTATGAAGACTAATGTAATCTAATAGATAATTTCTATATTGGTTAAAATTAAGATTTTTTTTTTCCAGTTCATGAGGACTCTTTTCTTGGCTATGCATGGGGCAGTGAAAACCATATGGGCTATATTCTTTTCTGAAGTGACATTATCTAAGCTGCCCAACAAACACACTAAGGGGGAAGTTGGAATGTTACATTCACTTTGAAGTGATTTAAAGTGACCGGGAAACAGAGCAGCTTGTAAACATGAGCAGAATTCTTTAGAATGAAAATTGTCGATAGAGCAGCATCTGCATTATAAATGCAGTGGTCTTCTTCTTCTTCTTCTTCTCTTCATCCGCTTTATCCGAGGCCGGGTCGCGGGGGCAGCAGCCTAAGCAAAGAGGCCCAGACCTCCCTCTCCCCAGCCACCTCCTCCAGCTTATCCGGGGGAAACACCAAGGCGTTCCCAGGCCAGCCGAGATATATAATCTCTCCAGCGTGTCCTGGGTCTGCCCCGGGGCCTCCTCCCGGTGGGACATGCCTGGAACACCTCACCCAGGAGGCGCCCAGGGGGCATCCTTGTCAGATGCCCGAACCACCTCAGCTGGCTCCTTTCTTTTTTTTTTTTTTTTTTTTTTTTTCTTTTTTTTTAAATGACATCAGAAACAGCAGCATGCGACATCACGTGATGGCGGAGCTTCAGTTCATCCTTTGTCATCTTTTTTTTTTTTTTTTTTTTTAATAGGACAGGGGGAATGAATGAAAGAAAGAGGGGGAGAGAAAGAAAGAAAACCAAAGGGGAGAAGAGACGGTGAGAAGGGGGGAAGAGAGAAAAAAAAAACAAACAACAAAAAAAACTCCTGGGTCACCTGTATGGAGAAAAAAAGCAAAAAAACAAACAGAGGAGACAGCAAACAACAAAGAGCAACATAATAATAGGGGAAAAAAAGCACCATCACAATAAACTAGCTAGTCATAGATATCAATAGTTACTAAATAATAGACGATATTGTTCAGCACGCAAGATAGACAGCGCACAGTGTGCTTTGAGGCAGCAGCCAAGAAAGCT